CTCAGTTCTACTGAGGGTGCTATAAGACAAGAGCAGAAAGGTTTGGAGTGGGCTTTCAGCTCAGGATTGGTATCCTACCAGTAGTACGCCTTGCGAGGGAGCCCAGCACTCCCTTAGATGAGGGTCGGATAGCAGGTACAAGTCATAAGGCTGTTTAGGAGAAAGGCTCATCCGCACCGTTGCAGTGCAAGCCAAGTCATTGTTTGTATGCGTTCAGGCTCAAGATACATGGTCAAAAGGCATGAAGGATGTTGCTCAAGGGCTCGCGCCCTTAAGAAGTCATACGGTCGTATCGGGGGGCGGCATGCGGCATGCCTGGGCCATGACGCTGCCATGCCTCCAGCTGCCCCATCGTCGGACAAAGATGCAATGATCACCTTGGACAAGGAGCACCCCAGCAGCCCCGAAAGTGCTCCTCCGTGGCCCTTGCAGCGCTGCAGAATGCGGCGAGGTTAACGAGGGATAGGTGCGGTATCATGGGAAGTCACGGGCGCGCTTGGTGGCGAACATGTCGGGGTTTCCACGTCAGCACAATGCAGGAGTTGGATGATGACGCTCTTTTCCAACATTTCTTGAGGCATGTGCCTCATTCCTCATACGGACATTGTAGTAGGTTGCACGAGGTGTCTTAAGACGAGGAGGTCTTAAAGGTCTTGGCTTATGAAGCTCGGGCAGATGGTTTGCTTCTGGGCACGATTGTTCGGCAGGGTGCAGGCATTGTGACAATTAACCCTCCCCGCCCTCTTCAAGGCTTCGCCGCCATGCGCGATGGCGCCGCGAGCAAGGCCTCTGCATGCTAGATGGTCTGTCGCACTTGGCCAACCCCTCAGTCTCCCAAACGTGCCATGTGAGCATGACTCAGTGCGTGTGCTTGTGGGAGGCCCTGAGCTGTTGGCTGTGGACAACAAGCCATGCCCTCGGAGTTCCAGACTGGCTAAAGCTACCCGACACTGCGGCCCACTCTCCATCATGTACTGGAAGAGGAATGACCTGCTAGCAGCAGTTTCGTGAGTCAAGAGCCGTGCCCGAAGCGACCTGGTACTCGGTGCCTGCCTGTCCGAGAGGTCAGCAAGAGCTTCCCTCAGCGACGGGAGCCAGGCACGTGTCATGTATCCGGGATATAGCAGGGCTAAGCCCAAACCTATGATAATAACTGAGAATCCTGAGTTGCTGGTCATGGCAATTGCTAATTCAGTTGTTGCGCGGCAAGAGGTCCGCACTTGCTGTTGGGGGGTCTTGCCTCGCAGCCTCTGGATGCGAAGTCTCTCTTCTCTCTCTCTCTCTCTCTCTCTCTCTCTCTCCCTCTCCCTCCCCACTTCCAAAACGTAGCCGCTGCAAAAACCTGAGTACCCTGTCTTTGACAAGCATCCGCCAAGTTGCCAAGTTGCCTCCAGGTTGGCGGTTCCTGTTGTGGGCGATAGAAAGCGTGCCCAGGCAATGTAGCGTGACACAGGCTTCTGGAGCCGAAGGGCCCAAGAACCAGAAAGAGGCATTGCTTGTCTGATACCTTACGAGAATAGTGTCGGGAAGACTTGTCAAGCTAGAGAAACGACGCCCAAGGACAGTACATCTGAAAAAGGCATGGTGCAGGCATGGATTTTGTTTTTGTCCTTTGACTTCACTATCCGAAGAGTGCTACTGGGAGTTGCTAGGTGGGTACCGTGTTTTCCTAGAGTGAGCCAGGCAGGACATGTCCACACATGGTCATATATGCCCAAAGCGAATCGCAGACAGGACCCCGCCAGCCAAGCACGCTTGCAGGCTCCGCGCCAAGAGGACTTGGCGCACAGAAGTTGACAATACGATCAATACTGTGTGATCATCCAGGCTTACACCTGTACCCGTGGCTGATGTAGCTGGGTGTTGCCTCCGTTGTGTTTGCTTGCTTTGGGTAGGAAAGTGCAAAGGATGGGGCATGCATTCGGTGATGAAATCGCCTCCATCCTTACCGAGTCTGAAGCGGTGCCTGAGAGGAGCCCAACTACCTGGAGGGCCGGGTCGTGCGTGGTGGAGCCATGCCAGCACCGTCCTCGGAGAAATTTTGGGGAATGAAGCAGCAATAGGGCCTTGGAGAGAATTCTCATAGGAGGCGAAACACCCCTAGACCCTAAAACCCTCAACCTTAAACCCTCAACCCTAAACCCGAAGCCAAAGGTGTTGCTGGAAGCAGCTGCAAGGGCAGGTTCGGCAGAGCGCTCTGCCATCCTCACAGCCCTGGAGAATACGGTCCCCGCGGCTGCACTGCTTTTGGCGCTGCCAGGGTTCGGGGGTTTACAGGGGTTTGAGGGGCACCCCCCTCAGCCCGAAACAGTTTCGTGCAGGGTAGGGGTCGAGGGTTGAGGGGTTGAGGGGTTCAGGGGTCGAGGGTTGAGAGATTTTGGTCACGTCTGAGGTTTCCAGGCCTTCTTTTTCTTGTTTGGTCCCTGGCTGGGGGGTTCCATCCGGGCTACCGAAACAAGGGCAGCTCGTGGGCTACGCTCTTGGAAAATGGTTTGGGGGCTTGTTTCGTGAATCTGATTGGCCAAGCCTTGAAGCCGGAGAGTCTAAGGTTTCCAGGCCTTCTTAATGCTAGCTCTTTTGCTTTTTGTTGTTCTTTCCCTCCCGGGATTTTCTAGGGCGCGAACGGGTAACCCAAATCAGTATGGGTGCCCCGAATAACTTTGTGAAGCTTCGCAGAATAGCGGGTAGCGATACAAAAGCGGGAGCACGGTCAGCGCCCAAGGATTGTTGTTCTATTACACTCGTTCGTGCAGCGCCACTCGCTCTGTAGTGCTATTGGCATGGGTCCTGGCTCACACATGCAGTCTTCGCAGTTGCCTTTTGTGCACTGCGTGTGCGCGTGCGTGTGCGTGTGGGTGCGTTCTGTGTTTGTTTGGGAGCATCCGAAAAGATCACTGAGACACACAATGACGAACACCGACAAGAACGTGGTTCTGAAGAGTCTGATGTTATCGCTGTGGGCTAGCAAGGCAGCCAGGACTCAAACAAGTGCCTGCAGCGGTCCTGTGCTTTTTTCGAACTTCCAGTACGCTTGGAGTGCGGCGCTGACCTTTCCCCCTTCAGGTGATCCCTAAACCCTAAACCCTAAACCCTAAACCCTAAACCCTAAACCCTAAACCCTAAACCCTAAACCCTACGCCCTAAACCCTAAACGGGTGGGGAAAAAACCCTAAACCCTAAACCCTGATCCAACAAACTCGTTACAAGCGCTTGAAGCTTGTGACTAAGGCCCGGGAGTCAGATGCCAGCATCTCCGGTCGCCTATCCCGATTCATTGCATCTGAGCTTGAAAGATGCAGAATGGCGTGTTGTGTCTAGTTCTTAAACATAATATGCTAACATCATACCGTTTATGATGTTGTAGTACTTTAATAATGTTAAGAACGTGTACTGTCATAATTGCATGGACTGTTGCGAGATGTTTTTTTGTTTCTAGCCTCGGTATTGAAGCCTCCAAAAATTCGTGCGCCCTTGTTGGAGGAGCTAGGTGGCGTGGAGCTCATTCGCGATTGGCTTGCTGACTCTGAGGAGGACGGTTTAGGGTTTAGGGTTTAGGGTCATGGCCCAATCTTGGGCTTAGGCGTGGTGTCGTCAGTGGTGATGAAAATCGGAGGGGCCCAGAAGGGCCTTACCCCACAGTCACACGCCCTTGCATCTCCTTGCCAGCACCGTGGAAGGAGATCTGCCGCGCTTGCTTAGTGGTGCTGCGGACGCTCGGCTCGAACCCATGTGCTGGCTGTTGGGCTCTGAATGATCCTAGAGGGGGGCATCCTCCGGAAACGAGTATAAAGGCCATTGCCCCAAGTTAACATGGGCTGCGGAAGGACTCGTCGAACAAATCTGGAAAGATCTCAGCCTCACGGTTTAGAGAATACCCTAAACCCTAAACCCCAAACCCCAAACCCTAAACCCTAAACCCTAAATCCAATGAGGGTGGTAAACAGCCCTCGACTCCGAGGCTTCTCCCCATGAGCCGCTCTGACGTGGTGTCGTCGAACCTTCTGACCTTGCTGGCTGACTTGGCCAGGGCGCAGCCTGCGCTCCGGGAAGAGGCGAGGGGCCCCTAAAGGGGCCTCCCTCCGGTTTAGGGTTTAGGGTTTAGGGTTTAGGGTTTAGGGTTTAGGGTTTAGGGTTTAGGGTTTAGGCTTTAGGGTTTAGGGCTCGGAATGCTTGCAGTTAGCATCTTCTCGTTCGTGCGTCTGTTCTGGGCCAGAGGCAGGGCTCCTGGTGCGCACCTGGCAAAGTTCGCTGCATCTCCAGGCCACGGCTGGTCTGCTGTGATGTGGCTTGCCGCCGGAAGTGTGCTCTGCAGCTATCGGTAGAAAGTATGCGTCCTCCTGTGTGTTTTTTTTAATACAAATGTGTATATATATATATATGACTTTGTGTATATGTTGATATGTCGGAGACATTCCCGGGATGCTCCTCCGCACGTCGCATCCGGCAGGGCGAGGATGCCAGGAAGAGGAAGTTCGAAGTGGAGGAGGAGGCGACGCTGAGCGACATCTCGCGTCTGGGCTTCGTCACAGCAGGGGTTCTTTGATGTTGGGGGGATTTCTGACATATTGGGCAGAGTGAGTGAAGTTGACGCCGGCCCGGGGCGGGGGTGCTTTCGCAGCCTTCTCTATTTTTTTTCGCTCAGGCACCTGGTCAAGATCCTTCAGGACGAGGAGGGCCAAGCGGAGAAGCCTCGAAATTCTCGAAGCAGCACGGCGAAGTTGGTTGATGAGCACTTCGAGGATCCTTTCGCCTGAAAGCCACGGGTTCTGCGCCCCACCATTCACCATGATGTGGGGCCAAGGGCCGGGGTCATACAGCGACGCTCAGCGACTCGTTGGCTGCCAAGAGCTTGCTTTGGTGGGCGCCGTGCAAAGTCAACGGCAGTGAGCCACAGAAGCATGGCGGTATAGGAGACATGCGGTTGCGCGCCACGCGAAAGAATGGGGCGTTAGCTTGCCGCTTCGCGACGCAAGAAGCCATGGATGAAATTTCCCCGACAGGCTGGTCACAGGCCTGCAGGGCGCAAATGTCACCTACGTCGCCGCGGGTGAGGCTCCATGTTAATACAGGGGGGCAGTTCCATGTCTCAGCTTACGCTTTAGTCCAAATTTGGGGCTTGGTGCAAGCTTACTCAGACACTCCAGACACTTAGACACTCCGACGAGTTTGCTGTGAGCTGCCAGGCAGGTCAAGGGCATGAACCTGACGTGAACATCCCGAGACACGGACAAAATGGTTTCCACTTCCCCTAAACCCTAAACCCTAAACCCTAAACCCGAAACCTTAAACCCTAAACAGCTCTAGAGACTCCCTGAGCCGGAAACAGGCCCACACCGCCGCCGTGGATGAGCTTGGTGGCCTCTACACCTGGGGCCAGGGCGCTTTTGGGCCGCCGGGCCGCACGAAGAGCAAAGACCCACAAAGACCCCGTGGGCCCACAATGGGGATTCCGATGGTTTAGGAATGTGGAGAGCTTTCTACATCTCACGGGTCACCCCCGTTGCCTGGCTTCTCACCTGTCTGCGTAGAGTTGACTTGCCCATGGCCCCTGCCCTTATTCTGCGAACTGCGCGCAAGGCTGCAAGGGCTTGCGACACTCACTACCCTTTGGCTTGTCATGAGAGTCCGGTTCAATAGATTTGTGCATTTTTTTTTTGGGGGGGGGGGGGGGTCGCACGGCTGGTGTTAAAACGAGGCGCTGCGGCCACGGAGTGGGCACCGACATGCCAAGCCCCGCACGCTGGGAGCCGAGCTGCTCCAGAGTTCTAACCGTTTGTGCATCTTTAGGGTTTAGGGTTTAGGGGTTCTAGGCAATGCAGCAGTCCTAGCCGTAAAAAGAGGTTCTAGTCAGCAAGTCCAGCTTCAAAAAAGGGTTTATCAGAAGCCAATTTAGGGGACCCCAGAAACACTTGTGTCACAATGGGCCTTCGCAGCAGATTCCATGCCGACCCTGCAGGTGTCGAGAGCTTGTCCGGCGTCTCCATGTCGCAGGCAAGAAGCCGTGGAATTCCTTCTCCTCCGTTGTGTTCGCGCAAAGGAACTGTGCGTCAAATGGGCAGGTGGCACTGGGTTTGATGCATTCCGTGGCGATGCCGCGGGCTCAGAGCTTGCAGCGGATTCATCTGACAAGTTACGAAGTTCGCGCCCCAACACCACGTCTTTTCAGAGTCCTTCCGGTCCACCTCAGGTCTGTCAAAGGGCAGCTCTACACGTGGGGGAAGGGCGCCGCCACTGGCTTCGATGTTGGGGAAGTGATCCCCACCCCACGGCAGGCTCGGGCCTTGGGAGCCTGAGGCGTAAAAAAACCGGGGGGGGGCGGGGGGTCCTTCTGCATTCTGCGCTCAGGTGAAGCTCGAGTCACGTGATCCCGTAGCTGGCTGAGCATGTGCAGTAAGTCAGTAAGCAGCTACATGAAGGAAGGGTTATGGGGTGGAGGGCCCTAGGCTAGGCTTGGAGGCCTCGAGGTTTGGAGATCCTGAGTCCGTTGGCTTGTTGGTGCTTTGGTTCAGCTGGCTTCGGGCATCCGAAGAGTGAACCCAACTCTTTGAGTGGCAGTGGCAGTGAGCACCGACAGTTCGATTGTAGCACGGCGGCCTTGGGACGGGCAGAAGTCAGAAGTCGATGAGTTTTTGCGACGATTGCTCAAGTAATGTTTTGCAGGGCTTGCCAGTCGAAGCGCTGTTCAGTATGGGACTGTTCAGTCGAACTCAACTTTTCCAAGCCCAAGCGGAGCTGCTCTTGGTTGCTGCTTGAGGTCTACCAGATCGCTGCTGGACCCTTGCACACAGCCCTGGCCTTGGGAAGGACGTGAGACTTCCTGCTCCTCTCTGTACTACCGCCGTAAATCCTTAGCAGGAGCCTCCTTGGCTGTCCAAACAACTGTGTCCGAAAGCTTTCGAGGTGGTCCTCATGCAGAAGGGCGACATTCTTTGCTTTGGATCTGGCACGGAGGGCCGCCTGCCCTTGAGGCCTGGAGTGCAAGCAGAGCACATCTGTTCCGGGCATTTCAAAGCGGAACTCTTACCGCAGGGACTACGATGAAAGCCTCGTGGACTTTCCCTTGCCAACCATCTTCAAGCCGCCAGAGTTGAAGTGGAAGGCTGCACCTGCTCAAAGTAGCAACCTCATAGCGATGACACCCAGCAACTTCAATACAGCAGTTCATATGTAAACAAAGCCTCGCCGTCATGCCCTGCGGCTATATCAATTGCAGTCTGGCTAGCAGTCCACCCCCTCACCCCCCACCACCCCCGCACCCCCTCCGCCCCTCCCCGACCTCCCCCCCACTGCAATCAGTATCTGCGAAGGTCAGCCTCAGGCCGCAGTCGAAATCGTCCCTGGACACCATTCAACACCCAGTATAATGTGTGTAGAATCAACCCTATCTTGCATCCTTTGCATAACCAAGAACCCTACATTGCATAGTTTGCATGACAAATCCTACTTTGCATAGGCTGTTAGACTAACAAATGCAGCCAGAAGAGACATCTCGTGCCAGGGCTGGGCGGCGGAGAAGTCGATACAGGCCTCCCAGAGCCAAAACCGCGCAGCCTCCTGGTGGCCCTCCAGGAGATCCGGGGGGCCCTTGAAAGGGATTTCCGCCCATGAAAGATGGGAGTGTTCCGACAGTTTCGTGGGTCTGTTAGGGGAGGTAAGCCCTGTGTTGAGAATGCCCGCCTCGGCTTGCTGCGGACGAGAGCCAAGACCAATTCGAGGATGTGCTGCGGCTCTGGAAGCTCGGCGATCCTGACAGGTTCGGGGGAGGGCTCGCAGAATGTGGGGGCTGGTCCCCTTGATCAGAGAGTTCCATGAAAGTTTGAGATTCGTCGCAAAAGGGGTTCAGCATGTTGGTCAATCCTCTGGTGGGAGCTTTTTTCGTGCCGTCGCGTGCCTCCGGCGCGGCAAGAGCCCTATCCTACCAAGCCGAGCGGCAAGCAAGTCGCTTCAGTTTCAGAAGCTGCCCCCAGGGGGGTTTAGGGTTTTAGGGTTTGGGGTTTAGGGCTTGGGGTTTAGGGCTTGGGGTTTAGGGCTTGGGGTTTAGGGTTTAGGGTTTGGGCTTTCGGGTTTAGGAACCCTCGATGTATGCCTGCAGCCACCAGGGCCCAAGCTCCTAAGGAGACCAAGGGCAGCATCAGGTGGGGGGGTCCTTTGACCAAGGAGCCAATGGGGGGGATGGGAGCCCGGAATGTTTGCATCGAACTCGAAACTGAGAGAGAATACTTGTATTAGAATAGATATCTTCACATGTGCATAAAGATACATATGTACATATCAATCTGTATTTATCTAGAAAACGTCCAAAATCATATATATATATATATATATATATGACTTCATATCATGAGCACGGAAACATATCTCGCAGTAGATATCTACTGATATGACATAAGCTCGACTCCAAACTGCACGGTCTAACCTGTTCCAAGCTATTGGGCGTTCTACTGAGATCCCGGGCTCCCTCTCCAAAAGGGAACGCTTCAGATTGAACGAGCCTGTGTTCTCGGTGGTCTCACGCCTTGTCCTCAATGGACTGATAGGTGCCACTTGTCTCAATCAGGTCGAACAGAACATGTATATTTTTCATGTGCACATTTGTGTGTGTACATATATATATATACATACATGCGCGCACATCTCTCTCTCTCTCTATATCTCTCGCTCTCTGTCTCTCGCTCGCTCTCTCACACATACCCACGTACATAACCTATGTATCTATGTATATATATATATATACATATATGTATTATATATATATACATATACACCTGTTCATACACAGAAAGAGAGAGAGAGAGAGAGAGATATATATATATATATACATATATCTACATAAACACATTCCTCTAGCAGCCTGCAGCAAATCACGTGCCCGAAGCCCAGGTTGCTGGGGTGGAGTCCAAGGCTTTTGCCGTGGCTGAGAGACCATCAGGGACATCTCGGCTCAGGGATGGCTGCCTGGCTTTAGCTTTAGGGTTTAGGGCTTAGGGCTTAGGGTTTAGGGTTTAGGGCTTAGGGTCTAGGGTTTAGGGTTTAGGGTTTAGGGTTTAGGGCTTAGGGCTCACTTGTCAACTTCTCGCAAGACCCAAGAGCTGATTCAGATCTTGAGCTTTATTTTTACGTTCTCACACCGCAGGCCCACTTGTCGCCTTGAGAATCCGGTGTTCTGCCGTGCGTTGCCCAGGTTCTTGGAACATTGAGGCTACTAGTCTTGGCGCTTTCGCGGCTTGCTCTGCATGTGAGTGCGATGAGTTCTTCTTGCAATTCAGGAGTGAGGCTGTGCACGTCTTGTCGTTTAGTCTGATACATGTTCGGCCAGGTTGCGCATCGTACATCCAACCTCGACGTGGCTCGTAGTGGATGCCGACGACTACGTAGATGTGTTCCTGAACGGGTGAATTGGCTGCAGAGGCAGAGGCTTCCTGCTTTGAGATGCTGACAGGTAGGTGTCCCTGTGTTCCCCGTGGCATTGAGCTCATCTTAGTAGCTAGAGCCTGAGTCACTGAAGCCTCTCCCCGCGAGCAATGCCGAACTCCCATCGCACACCGGCTCTGTCCTAGTAGCACTGCAAGCAGACAAGGAATTTTGTCCTTCCGGACATCTCTGCAACGTTGATCCCATTGCCACTTGTCGCTGTTGTTTGGGGGTGTGTGCGAGGTTTGATTGACTGATGCTTTGCATACGAGACTTGCTGCTGTCTTTCTGTTTCCCAGACACCCCAAACCCCAAACCGTAAAACCCGTTGGGACTCTTATTGTGTTGTGCGTTTTGTGGGGGTATTGAGTGGAGCATCTAGCTTTGTAAATCGCATGTTGGTTGAGGGTTATGAGTCCGGTAGCCTACGGGCGTGTTGGTTGGTGGGGAGCAGTAGTCAGACGACAGGCGGCTCAACAATTCCCACAAAAGCCCTAAACCTAAGCAAAAACCCAAACCGACCTGCTTTTGCAGAGAGCGAGTGCTTGCAGAGACCCAAACCAGACTCCGTCGTAGAGCCATAAGAGGAATGGTGTACGGCGAGTTCTGGCCCAGGAGACCACGGCCAAAGTCGCTTGGCGGCAAAGCAAACGTAGGGATCATGAAGCCTTCCACATGGGTCTTACGTTCTACCAGGGTTGTGGGTTTGGGGTTTAGGGACGTTAAGGGATCCTTCCTTTCTTGTATGCCCCAAAACCTTCAAGGGAATGCGATCTGATGCCTTCGAAGGTCATCGTTTTTCCCTTGGGCATGCAGCCCGGGGACCTCCTGGCAATGAGAGTCTTGACCTCCAGGCAGGCCTCCCAAGTGTGGCATGAAGACTATGGCTAGGGGCTCTGCGCACGCTTTCTGAACTCCATGCGCAGGATGAATCCCTTTTCCTTTCTACCACTTGCTTACGAACCCCCAAAACACAAAGGGGTGAATATCGGGATTACTGTTTTTTGTTCTTTTGGGGGGTTCTTAAGACGATGGTAGCTTAAGTCCTTGGCTAGGGCCCAGATGGTGAACATGACCGATGCCCTCGGCCGAACGACGCAGTATCCGGCCCCGCCGGGCTTGATTATGGCAGCCCAGAATGGTATGAAGCTTGGGCCTTCAGCATTTTGGGCGCTCCCCCTTGATGCTACCCATTAGTCATGCTGACACTGACCCTAAAGCCTAAACCCTAAACCCTCAACCCTAAACCCTCAACCCTAACCCCCCCCCCTTTAAACCCCTCGATCCGAATCCTTGCCTGCCTTGTGCGAGTGTGAGAGCCGGCACCCTCAACCCTAAACCCTCTGAGCTGAGGATGACATCCAGTGCTTTCAGGTGCAGCACTGAGGAGAAAGCCAGAGATGATGCAAGAACGCCATTCTTCTGGCCGGTGCCTCGCCGGAGACGAAGTTTGCTTTTTGTTTCCGCTTGTGGCCGCTACCCGAAAGAAGGTTGCCACACTTCTGCCACACTCTCACCAATGTTCCGCGGAGCTGAGGAATTTAATGACAGTCACTGGTCTGCCGCCTACGAGCTCCTTGGCACAAGCAAGCGTCTGCATGGCACGCGAACATACCCCAAAAACTTCTTAGCTAAATTGCTCAGGTGTGACTGGAGTGCATTCCGAAGTGCTTGTGCAGGCAGGAGGAAGGCTGCTGTCCCTGGCGAGACCCAAGCGAAATTTGGGGCCGGCTCAATGCCAAATGGATTGGGCTGAACCCTACGAGCTTTGTGTGGCTCGACCTGGACGGAGGTTCGATGGAACTTTACGTCTAGCAGTACTCAAGGTTGGAGCCAGCGGGGGCTTGGACGATCTTTTCCGGTGTTCCCACTTGTCCAGTCCCAGGCACTCAAACTCCTGCCAATGCGTCCCATTTGCCGAGGAACATCTCTGGCCCTCGCAATTTCAATTGCCGCTACCGGGTTCCGGGAGACTTGGATTGTGGCAGTCTCCTATGCTCTGGTTTATACTGGGGGTGGATGGCGGGGGTCGGCCGTACCCACTTGCGTCTCGTAGACTTAAGGACTTACGGTGCCGGTCAACCTGCCCGCAGTGGAGGTCGCCCGCGCAAGTGACCTCGTCCCGACCCGTGGTGTGGATGAGGGTTCAGGGCCTTAAGAGCTGATTCATCAATTTTCATAAGGGGCATGTTTCCTGTTTCTGCTCGGCATCTCTCATCCCAGGACATTGAATTTCAGCTCTGTTCAGTTGTCAACGTCTGTAACAAAGATGACGATCACAGTGGATCGAACTGCAGATGCGTATTGTGGCATCATTGACGCACGGTATCAGCTGCGCTCGCCAACGCACAACGAGCTCAAGCGGTGGGGCTCCGGCCTGCAGAATCTACAGGGAGAGCTGTACGTCTTCCACCTGATTGATGGGCTTGAGTTCACCTCACAGGAGCTCGATGCACCTGTTCTTTACAGGATATCCGTGGAGGACGAGGAAGGCTGTGAAGCTGCATGCCTTCGCTACGACGAGTGTGCCGCCTTGGAGTTTTATTTTGTAGGAGTGCATACGCAGACTGGCACCAATTGCAAGCTGATCAATGGAACCTACAACTCCAGCGAGAGAATGGATCCATCCTTGCTGGCAAGCTTCATCCAGAAGGAGAAAGTCTTGACACGTCCCCCACATACTGTCACAGTGAGCGGCTTGCTTTTCCCAGCCACAGTCTACAATGTCTACTGCTCTGTCGAAGACCGCACCAGCGGGAACCACTCAACGTGGGCGATGATTTCTGCGCAGGTCTTTTCGGAGAGGTCCGAGGGCTGCTTCGATTGCGGCAACACACTGCCGCCCAGCATCTACGTGCGTGGCGGCTGGGCCAGTACTGAGACCGTAGGAGTTGTTGTCGGTGCCAGTTCGACCGGCCGACTGTTTTGCAATGCCTTCGTGCAGAATGTCAGTTTCCCACCCATCGTGTCGCCAGCCACGATTCGGAGTTCAAACTATTTTGGAATTCTCACATCCACGTCGAACAACATTGCCATTACGATCGCTAACCTGCAGCCAGACACAGCTCACATCGTGGCTTGCGTGGCCGAGTCGGACACAGGTGCCGAGAGCACCCAAAGCCAAGTGGACCTCACGCGTCGCGAGGTTTTCACCGAGACCACGCCCTCCACCATCAGCTCCATGAGGATGCTCCGTGAGGCCGAGGCTCTATTCGACACGATCACCGCGTGGAGCTGAGCACCCCTAACCCTGAGAGAGAAGCCACAAATCTCCACAGAATATCCCAAACAGCTCGTTGTGGAGGCTTGAAGCAGTGACTTGCGGTGCAAAGGTGACGATTC